GGATAGATATACGAAAATTTGTTTTTCGACCAATCTCTCAGAGAAGGAGAGGTCGATATCACTTCTCTCTGTATGCATATGTTCATGACGAACTTCTGTACTTAATGGTTTCCTTCATTAATTTACTTACTAGCTATAGCGTGTCGAGTCCTCTCTATACATACGTGATCGGTAGTGATTGTTTATAGTGCTTGCTGTGACATTGTAGAGCGCAGATGAGCACAGCTGAATTCCTCGCATCGTTGGAGTCCTCAGCCACCATTGGCCTTGATGATCTCAACTATGATTTTGAATCAAACATTATGTTTTAAGTGATGTCTTTTGGGTGAACTTCGCATCTTTAAATTTGAAAAAAAAAACGGTGATGAAACTTTATGTTATGACGATTCTTGCTATCCATGCTTTCATTTGAATGGTTTTAAGATATGTGTTGTGTAGTGTTTGAAGTTGGTGTGGCTAGGACACAAAATCGAGACAATTCTATGTTTACTACACTAACTGTTAGGGGATCGGCTAGGTGCGGCCATCGTTAATGAAGTAAAATTTTATGTTTACTCCACTAACTTTAGTCCGTCGTTTACTACCTTAAGTTTTGGGGGATCGGTCAGAAACACCCTAACAAGGCTTTTATATCTTAATTCAGATTTCCCAACAGAGCACCACCGAGTGGTTGGCCGGGCAGTGCGCTGGGCAGCAGCAAAGTGTGCTCCTTCACGTGGCATCCCCACCGTCATTCGCTCGGCCGGGGCAGCAACCCTGGTGGCCGGGATGGCGGCTCACGGAAGGAGGAGAGCGGCGCCAGGACACTAACGGTAGCGATGGGCGTGAGATAGGCGGAGGCGGCGGGTAGCGTAGCCGGCAGAAGGATCGAGGCGGCAGCCATGTCACGGGGAGGAGGAGCACGGCGAAGGGCGCGTGGGTAAGAGAAGGAGCAGGGCGGTGGCTGCGTCGCCCTTGAGGAGTGCGGGGAGGCCGGTAGTGGTAGGTGGGCGAATGGATAAGATGAAAGAGGTGGACCAGCGCGTGTGCTGATTTGTCGGCAGCGCGGCCGCTCGGTACGATGAAATTGTGCGCACGCGTTTTTTAGATTTTATATAAATTTTTCTGGACACAGGTAGGAGCGTACTTTCTTTTTACTCACAGGTAGGGCAGAGGAGCGTACTGAGTATTTGGATCGCGGCGGACCGATGTAGTCTAATCTGAATCAGCAACCAACTAATACTAGTAAAGGAAAATAAAAACCCTTCTATTAGGTTTTTGCAAGGGAGGTGCAGTGAAGCAGAACCAATCTTCTACTCTATCTATCGTAATTGTATGTAATGTAAGGTTGACATGACCAAAGACAAAAAGCCTTTACAAAGTATTCTTCAATGTAAATATGATACATAATGCTAAGCTAGGAGTACTAATAATTAATCAATGGAAGAACATCGATAGAACTAGCTAGGTATGCATGACGTTGCTAATAATTAATAACTCTATGCTTGGCTGGATTTCCCCTCCTGCTGCTTGTCCGCCTCGCCGACGACGGCATCGTACACGGCGGCGTTATCACGGATGCACTTTTCCAGCGCCGCCGCCGCCTTGAAGCACTTCTGCTTCTTATCCGCCGAGCCGCTGACCTGGTTGCACGCCGCAATCATCGCGTCCGACTTATCCCCGCATCCGCTGAAGCAGACGAGAGCCTTTATGGCCCCGTTGATCAGCAGCTCAGGAGAAGGCAACGACGACAACGACGATGAGGAATCGTCCCCCCTGTTGTTGATCGTTGATGTTGCGCTCCCCATAACGACGCTGATGACAGGTGGTCGAACTCCGCGTGCGCTTAAAATAGTCGATTCGATCGATCTCGCTGTGGACGGGACTCGGCCGGTGCTTTTCGCAGGTATACGTTCCTGCTCTTTTCCCTCGTATATTTATATATAACAATTCCAATCGAACTACAATAGTATTGTTTTGGTTTGGGAATCTACTCTGAGAACCAGTAGTATCTGGATCATATACGAAACTGGACGAGTACTCCAGCTGGCGATTTCCAATTCAGCGCTTGCAGCCCTGGTTTATTTGAGCGTCTCTAACAGGCGCGCTAAAATAAGTTTAAGGCCTCTTTTGGTTCATAGAATAGGATTATCATAGGAATAGAAATCTTATAGGAAATGAGATAACATGTATCTCAAATCCTATGAGTAGGAATAGGAAACAAGATGTCATTTGGTTGACACCAAAGGAAATTTTCCATTGAGTCTAGGCTTTTTTTTATTTTCCTATGAAATATGGAGGATAGGAACCAATCCTATGTAGGAATAGGAATCCATTCCTATAAACCAAGTGGCTCTAAAGGAAAAAATCCTATAAGAATCATATCCTCTAGAATTCCTATGAAATTCCTCTAAACCAAAGGAGGCGCCTCGAAATAGCAACTTTTTATGCACAGCAGAGCGCTGCCAGTGGCCGCTGTAAAAAATTGCGCGCGCGCGCCGCTCCAGCAGACGCGCTAATTGTTACAGCGCGTGCGAGAAGCCGCCACTTGCAACATCTTCATTTTGACAATATGAGATGATGTTTCAAACATTTTATGCATTCAACTGCTTTCAAAAAGTAATTACTCTAGGTGAGTAGTAGTTCCAAAAATATGAAAATTACAAGATGTTAGTTTGCATGAATTTTATTTTCACAAGCAAACATATACACAAGCAAGTATAAAGTTTAGCTTCTTTTTTCCCCTCTCGCAAGGTGACTAGGAAAAGCCTTCCTCCCTTCAATTTTCGCCATCAAGGCTGTGGATTTGTCTCCCCTCTGCCTGCCGCTTGGCGGCCGGTGGCAGAGAGGGTATTCGTGGTGCCTTGGCTTAGATAGGTAGGGTTTTAGTTCTCGCAAGGGCGGCGCTTCTTATTCGAGTCAGTCTTCTAGGCTCCAACACTCCTCAAGTTCGTTTATCGGGATGGATTAGATGGAGCTCCGATGTAGATTCCTGCAAGCTCCTCGGAGCAGCGAGGTTAGGGTTTCTCATCGTGCGTATGCAACAGCAAGATTTGGTGTCATGTTCTTCAGATCGATTCCAGGACTCAACGGCGACGACTATGGCTCCCAAATGCTGGTCCTTAGGAGCACATGCACGAAGACTTCCCAGCTCATCGACAAGGTCAAGCGGGCAACAGTATGAGAGCGGCATCGGCGGCTCATTCTGCTGGCGGCAATGGTGTGGTGTTGTTCATGGACCTCGATGTAATTTTTATTATATTCGGTACGCTTTATACTTCCTGTGAATGATCTGATATTTTTGCAAAAAAGAAAAGGGAAACATGTACACAAACAAACACAAGGCTTTTTTTCACTCGCGTAGCGCCGTGGCTGATGCATTTCTATTGCAATTATCGAAAATTATTTCGACCCGGATTCTGGGCTAGCTACGAGCTAGCCATACACTAACAAATTTATTCGCCACTGTTTCGCAAAAAAAAATATTTATTCGCCACCACCAGGTACGCACAACGAGCTAGAGTGCTACGTACGCTAGATATCACTGTGGTTGACTAGCTGTACTCCACCCATCACGCGTTCAAGACGATCTTGTCGCACTGTCCGAGCTCGTTGGCCGACGCGCCGGCGCCGCCGGATGGGAAGAAGAAGGGGTACACCTCGTAGCGCGCCATGCAGCTGCTGTAGATCACGCGGCACCCGCGTCGGTACCGGCAGTAGTTGGGCAGCTCCGCCACCGCCTGCGCCACACACAGCCCGCAGTCCGCCGCCGTGATGTCCCTGGTGCACCAACCGAGCCCGTAGATAGTCGTCTTGGCTCTGCCGCCGCCGCCTCCCACCCGCGTCGTGTCCGTCTTCAGCCCCTTGTTGGCGGCGTCGCCGGCCTCGGAGGCGACTCGGGACATAGCTTCCCCTGCGCCCGGTCGAACGCGGCCAGGTCGACGCCGGTGGCGTTCTGCGTGTTGAGCAGGATGAGCGTGTACCCCGTGTCCGCAAGGCCGATGAAGTTGGAGGTCGAGTATTGGAATTAAACACGATAAGACGTGTCTGTGTCCGGCAATACGTGCATGTACGTGTTCGTGTTAGTTTTCCTATCCTTCACCGAGTAGGATTAGATTAGTTGGCAGGTTAGCTAGCTGATATAAATACTCATATACCCCTGTACTCTTTGTACCACTGTGAGGCAATAAAAAAATCACCAGGAACGTCACGTTCCTGTGACAATCAGCCAGGTTTGCCGTGCGTGAGTACTGCTAGTACTGGATCGATCCGTTAATCGATTAGCTAGCTACTAGTTGTTCTGCCTGTACGTGGTTCCGTCTCAGACGTGTTTCGCTTCGACCAAGTGCACCGGTCAACAGGGAATTGTTCAAGAGTTAGTCAGCTTTGCTTTGTTGTCGTTCGTCGTCGGTCGTCGCCGTCGCCGGAAAGTACTCGGTATCGGGTCTGGGCCAACAATTGGTATCAGAGCAAGGTTGATCTTCTAGTAACGGAGGATCATGTCGGACGACGAGAAGAACAAGCAGCTGGTGAAGTACTCCGGTGCGGCTAAAGTAATTGCTGCTCCGGCGAGTTCGTCGTATCCACGGTTTGATCGCGAGAACTTCGAGGTCTGGAGGGCCCTCATGGAGTGTGGTCTCCGCGCCAACGAGCTATGGGACGCGGTGGATCCCGGAGGCGACGCGTTCAAGAAGGAGGGAGCCGAGCACCGGAAGGATCGGCAGGCGGCGTCAGCGATTTACTCGGTGATGCCGATGGATGTCCTCCAGCACCTGATCGCCAAAGAAACGGCGAAGGAGGTGTGGGATATGCTGAAGCTCATGTTCGAGGGACACACCCGCGTCAAGCAAGCCAATCTCCAAACTCTCCTAAGGAACTACGAGACTTTGGTCATGGGCGACGATGAGTCTGTGGACGTGTTCGCTTCACGGGTAGTAACTCTCGTCAATCGGATTCGCGCGCTTGGAGAAAACCTCACGGAGACCTCGGTTGTCCGGCGATTCTTGCGCGCGGCCCCTCCCCGGTACCTGCAAATTGTCACGGCGATCGAGCAGTGCGTCGATCTCGAGACTCTCTCCATCGACGATCTTGTCGGACGGTACAAGGCTCACGATGAGCGGATGCGGTACAGTCTTGGGGACGGGAGGAACGACGAGCTTGTGATGCTCACAAGGGCGCAGTGGGTTGCTTTGTCAAAGGAAAAGCAAGGTGGATCCACTAGCAACAGCAAAAAGAAGGGGAAGCAGCGTTCGGCGAGAAAGAACTTCGCCGACTCGGACGACGACTCAGACGACGAGGCTGCACCGCCACCGAGGAGAAAGTTTGACATCAGAAAAGTGAGATGTTATAACTGTGGTCTACTCGGTCACTTCAAGGTTGACTGCGAGGAAGCACCGAAGCAGAAGGCGCTGATAGCCCAGCAAGGAGATGATGGTGACATGATGTTGATGTGTAAACTGGTGGACGAGGAGGATCCAGACTCTCAAGCATTGACTAAAGAAATTGTCGAGCTTGCGGAAGAAAAAGTTTGCCATCAAATTATGGTTCGGAAACTCGTGTCGAAGCTACAGATGCGGGGAGTAATTCCGAAACTTATGTCAGTGCTATGGACGTAAGTGCCAATTTTGCTGGAGCGGATGCGGCGATAGCTACGTGTGCTCGTCCATGAAGAAGTACTCTTTGTGCGGCGCCTCCGAAAGAGGCCAGCTGTGGTCGAAAGAGCAGTTCAGAAATTCTGAGAATAGACGAAATTGTGGCGCCAGAAGACCATGACACAAGGCGGGCCGGTGTGGTTCAACCAGTAAAATACAACGCGCGACGAGCTGAGCGTTGCGCATACATGGTGTCAGATAGTGCAACAGCGAGTTACGTGGACGACGCGACTCGTGGTGCATCCGACCTGGCGATTCCAGGAGCTAGTGGCATTGCAAGCATCGAAACATGCAGCAAGATAGCGAGCTCGCAGAAGTCGGCGGCAAATGCAGTAGCGTGCGTAGGCAGCAGCAGCGCGCCATGCAACTCACGTAAGTTGGCAGTCGAATCAAGGCCAGCGGCTACAGTATCCAAGGACAGCAACGCAGCGAGTTCTCAGCCCGGAGCGCTAGCAGTCAACACGCAAAATAGCCCAGAAAAAGAGGTGGCTTGGGCACCACCACGAGGCTCATGCAGGACAACGTGGAGGTGGAGGCCTTCTAAAGGCTGCTGTGGCAGCAGCCCGTCCAACAGGCCAGGATGGCCGGAACGGACGGCACCAGGGAGCCTGGCTTTAGAAGTCACACGTGCTGCACTTGGAGGTGCAGCAAGTGGAGTTGCACTCGAAGATGGGCCAGCAAAATTGTACGTAAAGGAAGAGGCACCACCATCTACATACGAACATCTTGGACCGGTATTCAACCTGCATTCGAAGAAATATCTTCAAACAATAGACCCGGAAAAAGTGAATCGGAGTGGGCGACAGTGTCTAGCAAACGCTGAGGAACCGGCGAAATTTGTGGACACAAATACGAAGGAGTGTTGGCGTCATGCTATGAAAGAAGAGTTGGGGTCAATCCACGACAACAATGCATGGGAGCTTGTGGATCTTCCCAACAACCAAAAAGTCATGGATCTCAAGTGGAAATTTATGGTCAAGAGAGATGTCGAAGTGTGCATGAAGCACAAAGCGAGGCTTGTGGCCAAAGGGTATGTGCAAGAGGAAAGTATGGACTTCGAAGAAGTGTTCGTTCCCATTGCAAAGATGGAGTCGGTGAGATTACTCATCGCTCTCGCGGCTCGGGAATCATGGAAAGTACATCACTTGGATGTAAAATCCGCGTTTTCGGACGGCGAGATAGAAGGAGATGTGTATGTTAATCAACCACCGGGTTTCATCAAAGAGGGAGAGGAGCACAAGGTACTGAAATTACACAAAATCTTGTATGGGCTATGGCAAAGACCTCGGGAGTGGAACATCAAATTTGATCGGACATTGGTTTCTCTTGGATTTGAGAAAGCCCCACTAGAGCACGCAATGTACAAGAGAGGTAAAGGAAGGGATCGTCTACTAGTTGGCATCTACGTCGACGACCTATTGATAACTGGAGCAGATGAAGAGGTGATTGCAAAGTTTAAGCTACAGATGAAAGAGCTTTTCAAGATGGATGATCTAGGTCTTTTGAGCTACTACCCCGGGATAGAGGTACATCAAAAGCCGGAGGGGGTCACACTATGCCAGGAGGCATACGTAAGGAAGGTACTTGAAAGGCGTGGCATGAAATATTGCAATCCAATTGACGCTTCAATGAAACCTCGTCTTGAGATAAGCAAGAAGAGCAAAGCACCCGCAGTTGAAGCAATAGAGTATATTGCAGCTGCCACTGCGATGTGTCAAGGTGTGTGGCTAGGGAGGCTGCACGGTGATCTCATGGATCGAGATCCGGAACAAGTGGTGCTTAATGTTGATAGCAAGTCTGAAAATTTTCTACGTAAAGATCCAGTGTGGCATGATAGGAGCAAGCACATTGGTACGGTGTATCACTATATAAAGGACTGCGTAGAAGAAGGTAAGATGAAAATCAACTACATTCACACCGATGATCAACTGGCGGATATGCTAATCAAGGCTTTGGATCGAGAGAAGTACTTGGGGCTGCGAAGAAGAATCGGCGCCGGCGCGGTAACGTAACGATGTCGTGTTTAGGGGGGTGATTGTTGGAATTAAACACGATAAGACGTGTCTGTGTCCGGCAATACGTGCATGTACGTGTTCGTGTTAGTTTTCCTATCCTTCACCGAGTAGGATTAGATTAGTTGGCAGGTTAGCTAGCTGATATAAATACTCATATACCCCTGTACTCTTTGTACCACTGTGAGGCAATAAAAAAATCACCAGGAACGTCACGTTCCTGTGGCAATCAGCCAGGTTTGCCGTGCGTGAGTACTGCTAGTACCGGATCGATCCGTTAATCGATTAGCTAGCTACTAGTTGTTCTGCCTGTACGTGGTTCCGTCTCAGACGTGTTTCGCTTCGACCAAGTGCACCGGTCAACAGGGAATTGTTCAAGAGTTAGTCAGCTTTGCTTTGTTGTCGTTCGTCGTCGGTCGTCGCTGTCGCCGGAAAATACTCGGCGTCGGGTCTGGGCCAACATCGAGTACCGGAGCAGGCAGTAGTCGTAGAAGACCCGCCCGTCCGAGCTGCCGCGGCAGGACAACGCGACCTCCTTGGCCGCCGCGGCGAGGCAGAGCGAGCAGTCCTGACGCGCGACGTCGCCACGGCACTGCGCGAGGCCCCAGACCGCGGACGAAGAGCGGCCGGCGGTGGCCGTGGCGTAGTAGGCGGCGGAGGCGCGCGGGACGAGCGCCGTGAGGACCTGGTCGATGCTGGCCTGCGTCTGCGCGCTGGTCCCGTTCTTGGCGCAGTACGTGCTGATCGCATCCACGCCGGAGCACGGACGCGCCATGGCGAGCAGGAGCGGCCCCAGCAGCAGCATGAGCAGCGGAGACGCCGGTAGTGGAGACGAGGTGGAGGCCATTGCCTGCTGCGATTTGATGTGATGTGTTGTGTGTGGCTCACTAGCTACTAGCTACTAGCAGTTTGTTTGCATGCATGTTCTCGTGAGTGCGCCTGAGATTCTTATAGAGCGGGCAGCGAGTGATCTGTGCTTGGTCCATGGCTGATGGCTCCATGTTACTACTCCCTCCGTCTGGAAATACTTGTCGGAGGAATGGATGTATCTAGTCATATTTTAGTTTTAGATGCATCCATTTTTAACCATTTATGTGACAAGTATTTCTGGACGGAGGGAGTACTAGACTGGATGCAATACATGCGCAGCCATAATTGACGAGCTCCTGGCAACTAATGGCGGCACTGCTTGATCGTGCAGACTACTGTGCATGTTGTTCAACTAACTGATCCTCCATGCTCACTTGTTTAAGATTTACCCATTTTACTTGATCGCTAGGAAATCGACGGAGTGAATTGTTCTAGTCGCAAGGTATGTACGTGGATCACCTGAGGCTGAGAGAGTGGGCTGGGCCATCTCTCAACCTGCAAGCAAACGACTTTATCGAACTGAACTGTTCTAGATTGGTTAATATTCAGCCGTACATACCTTAGCTAGGTCATACCTCCAACAAAACTAAGTTATCTTGGGCATGTGCTTAACCCAAAACGTACGTATCCCATAATTAAGCCATTAATCGTCTAGCAGTGAAATTAGGAACAATCCATGGACTACTTAGTGTTGGAGATGGCCGGTTATTAGGACCGGGTCGGTCTCTGCGTCGGTGGTGACACACTACGCAGCGCATTACTGGTCAACGCTTCTCTGGATGGATGTGGAGACAGCCATTCGACCGGGGATCGATCGATTGTGAAGCAAAGTTAGGTCGTCGTCTTGCTGTGACGGGCACCTAAGTAATACCCAATTCTCCATTCATGGACAGACACCCATTTTTTTGTGCGCGTGGGCCATATCACTATTATTGGAAAAAAAAAACTGCCGTTACGGGGTACATCACCCTTTGCCGAGCACACTAGCACGGATCACAGCAAAAGAAATGTAAGCCGAGTGTGGCTCTCGACAAACAATAGAACACGGCACATGGGAAGCTCTGCCGAGCCCCGCACGGTGTATACTCGGCGAACATAAAGGAACTCGGCTTGTTCACGGTATTCTCGATCGGCGGCAGGCCGCCGCTCGTCCCCGCGTGGTTCAGTCGCCGCAACTAGCCCTCCCCTCCGCCACCGGGCCTATACGTACCCACGGGCCGCCGCCGTGCGAGCCACCGGTCCGATCCGGCGTTGCCCGAGGCTGCACGGCTCTGGCCCCAAGCTCGCCACCGGCCGCCACCACAACCTCGCCGTTGACACATTTTGCTGCCGGCTGACCACCCCTCCCACCTTGACGGCAACAACCCCAAGGTGAGCTCACCCGCAAAATAAAAAATAAAAAAAACCCCAAGGTGAGCTAGCTATAGGGCGGCTTTTGTCTCTCTCCATTTTCTACATGGCAATTGTTAATATACATTTTTTTAGAAATGTAATAAACCTTTTGCGAATTGATTTTCTTTTTGTGAAACTCATGGTACTGCCTACGGTACATGTCATTTTATGAATTTTCTATATTGTATACTAGCACATATGCCCGTGCGTTGCAACGGGAAAATTTGTTGTTTTGTGCAAACATAATGTATAATAGCTCATTGGTTGTTGTATAGAACAAACGCCTGTTCGGCCCCAAGCGGCTCTTTTTCGGTGTTTTTAGGGGCCGAACAGCTAGAGATGCTCTTATATCCAAATAGACTCAGAAAATGAGCGTCTGTCCTTTTTGGGCAACTTAACGTTTAGCAAATCCATGAACAGAAAATTGGGTATTACAGTACTTGGGTGCCCGCCACAGCAAGGCGACGATCTAACTTTGCTGTCACGATCGATTGAATGATTCTCTCCACATCACATCCAGAAAAGCGTTGACCAGTAATGCGCTGCGTTAGTGTGTCACCACCGATGCGGAGACCGACCCGGTAGGTCCTAATTAATAATCGGCCTTCTCCAACACTAAGAGTCCATGGATTGTTCTTAATTTCACTGCTAAACAGTGGCTTAACTATGCGAGGATACGTTTTGGGTTAAGCACATGGCCAAGATTAACTTAGTTTTGTTGGTGGTATGACCTACGTAGCTAAGTTGTGTACGGCTTATTTTAAGGGATCTGCATGCAGGAACAGGTCAGTTCGATCAGTCGTTTCCTTGCAGTTTAAGAGATGACCCAGCTCGCTCAGCTAGATTTTATATTTTCGTTATCCAAGATCACAATTAGCCTATAGGTCAATACTATCAGAAGTGGATCAAAGTTGCTAACATGAGTTTCTTTCTCAAGTGTGCTTAAAGAAAAAAAATCAAGAAGCCTCAAAAGCCACGCGCGCACCCCAAAATCAGCATCGTCCATCCAAGACGGGTGTGGAACATGTTCGTCACGATGGAGCGGGCGACGACG